TTTGATACCAAAATTATAAATTAATGTACCTATTTTTGAAAGCGGAACAAAAGGAATGAACCATTATTTGGTTCAATTCTAGTTTGATCCTAATCAACCCAGAATCGAAACCGAAATTATAAATTGACGTACCTAATTTTGAAAGCGAAGCAGAAGGTGTGAGCCACGATTCGGTTCAATTCTAGTTTGTTCCTAATCAAGCAAAAATTGAAACCGAAATTATAAATTAACGTTCATAATTTTAAAAGCAGAATGAAAGGAACTAACCATGATTTGGTCAATTCTGATTTCATTCCAATTAACTCGGAATCGAAACCAAAATTATAAATTAACGTTCCTAATTTTGAAAGAGGAACAGGAAGGTGTGAACCATGATTCGGTTCAGAATAATGATTTAAGGACCGAATTTGATAGTTACTAAATTCAATTTATGTGAGTATGGTGGTGAGTCCCACTATATAATGTCATCATAACGTCGTGTGATAGACCTGATACCCCTCTCACATAATTTGAATTCGAAAACTACCGCTTCCTAATTTTGAAAGCGAAAAGGAAGGATTAAACCACGGTTCAGTCAATTCCTCGGTTTGCCCACAACGGGGCTCGAATCCCTCCCAACCTCTTGAGGATGGGGGAGGATAAACCATTGGGCTAGATGCCTTTGGTATTTCTTAGATGAACAAAATAGGTGTGTCTTATTTGCGAGGTAAAATAAATAATAATAAAAAATAAATAAAAAAATCAACAGACAAAGGGCATTTTGAGTAATAGCATTAAAAGTTTACTTTAAAATTGGATACAATTCTACTAGAGTGTGACTTTTCCAAGGATAATTTTGGCAATTTTTTTTTTTTTTTTTTTTTTTTTTTGTAAACAGAAAATATAATGCAAATGAAGAGAAGTAGAATGCAAATAAATAAATCTTATTGTTGCCCAGATATAGACTCTAGAGGGGAGGTGAATAGAGTCTAAGCAAACTAAGGTCAATTTTGGGTTTTAATTAATCAACTAGAACAAGGCTTAACTTCCTTGATAATATTGATGAAAATAAACTGAATTTTAAACTTCAAAGGATAATATTTATCAAACAAAATATATAGCAATAAATGTAAGAGTTAGAGATATAGATTGCAAACATATACTCAACGATTTTAGCAAGGTTCGGAAACTCCTACTCCTCGACTCAAGACCCCTCTTAAGACTTCCTAATTCACTATGGCTTCTCCTTGCGGGTGGAGAGCAAACATTTTACAAGAAGCTATTCCTTGCTTCTAAGTGCTAAGAGAAACACCTTCTCCTTAGTCTTTCTTGGGCCACACCAGCCTTTACAATATTTGAACAAGATTGATGAAGTACAAAGTGATCTCTCTTAGATCTAAAGTACAAGATTCAGCTCACTCTAGAGTATGTATGAATAAATTGAAGCTCAATACTCTTTTGATGATGAGAAGTGTGTATATGATAATGAAAGGCTTTATAATTGCAAGAAAAACTTTCTCAATAAATGCAACAACCTTTTATAAAGGATACCAATCATTATATAGACTTTTAGAACTATCTGATATGAGATCTAGCTGTTGGACACACACTTCGAGGAAAAAGGCCGTTTGAATTTTGAATTTTCACAGGATCGGTCGTCCGAAATAATACTCTCTTGAGGTTCGGTCGACCGATTTGGTACGAGGTTGATTACTAGCCATGTTTTGGTAGACCGATGAAAACTTTCATCTATTTCGGTCGACCGAAACTCCTTCCTCAAAAGCTCTAAAGCATTCTGTGAGAATCAGCTCTGCTGATTCATTTACCTCTTTAGTTTCGGTCGTCTAAAACTCAAGTGTGTTCTTTAATTTGCTAGGTTCGGTAAACCGAACTAGAATGGCCCTGAGATTCGGTAGACCGATATTTCTTAAAAAATTTGACCCAAGCTTTTTGATAAAATCGGTCGACCGGTTTAAGGTATTCTTCCATTTCGGTCGACCGAAATGGAACATATAACTTAGGAACATGTTTTGATGAGTTGAGTTTGGTCCAATGATCTTTAACTTTGATGAATGATTTTCTATGCATGATTTTGAGAAATTGAGCTTCAAGATGTTTATATATACTTTAACAAAGTTCCCTAAAGAGCTCACCATCCTAACTAACCCCATTTTGATGAGATGTTGAAGACTTGTCTTTGACTCTTGATTCCTTGGTCCTTTTCTCATGCCTTGGTGTTGCTTCTTCAGTTTTGCTTTTCTATTGTAGTGTCTTATCTTGATAAGCTTTGATTTGTAATTTTACTCAAGTAGACATTAGTGTACATAGAACATCATTAATGAATTATGATCATCAAAAACCTTAGATTCAAGGTTAACACTTATCAATTTTTAATAATAATAATAATAAATCCTACTTTTGAATTTTTTCAAAAACTCTAAACCACTAAATCTTCCATTTTATACATTTTCCCAATAAACTTCAAATTTTGCAATTATAATTTATGATTGAAAATTGATATGTCATCTATTTTTTATGTTCTTTTTAGTTTTAGTTATTTAATCAACATTATATTATGAGTTTAAATTATAAATAATTCATTCAAAAACTATTGTGTAGAATTTATGGCGACTTTAATTCACAAAAAATTAAAAATTCTATTAAAATATTCAATAAAATATAATCATTTTTTCTTACTTCAATAAAATTTTATCCTTTTAGAAACTGACTAAACGTTTGAAAATAAAATATACATAAAATGATATGAACAAATGGGTATTGCATACAGATTTGGGTCCTACTCCATTTGGAGTAGTGATACTTGCACCTATTTGTTGTACTGAATTACTGCACTGAAAGTTTCTCATTGGTTATTTATGCACAAGGAAAATGATTCTTGCATCGAATAGTTGCAGTGAATTGTTAGACGCACTCTTTTAATTGGTCAATTATACAACAAATAAGAAAGTGAAGCCCTCCATTTGGTTATATTTTGTATAAATAGCTAATTAAAAATTATTTAGTTAGGCAATTCACTGTAAATGTTCGATGTGAATATCACTACTCCGTGCACAATGCAAGTAAGTAGAGGACCCATTCCCTTATTTGTTGCACATGTAGACCAATTAAAATAAATAGGTCTGGTAATTCACAGTAACAAATTGGTGTAAGAATCATTTTTCCTCTGTTTTATACAAAATCAGTGAATTGTTAGACTTACTTTTTTAATTGGTCAATTATGCAACAAATAAGGAAGTGGAGCCCTCCACATAATTGTATTTGGTATAAATAACTAATTAAAAATTATTTAGTTAGACATTTATTAAAAGTATTCGGTGTCAGTATCACTATTCAAATACATTTGGTATTGTCTTCCAAAAAATCACCATTCTAGATTTTGAAAAAGTTTGATTGAGGTTTGGACAGATTTTAATTGCAAATTCAGAATTCAAAATTGGTGATGGTAAATATTAAAAAACTGTTTCATGACCGTTTTGGAAAGGCTCAACTCTAATTCAAACTAGATACATTGGCAGTCCAACAGGGAAAGTACCAAATAATTTAATTTGTCGAATCATCCCAGCGACTCATTTCAGGTCCAACCATCCACATACTGTTTTCCCTTCCAAGAAGGTATACAACAATACCTATACGATACCCCCACCAGTGGACAGTCATAGTAATTTTTTTTTTCTTTCATAATTTTTTTTTTTTTTCATTTCCCTTTTATCAAGGCAAATTGAAAATTTTCATGACTTTTCATTAGTGGGACAGTGACGGACTCAAGAATTTTTTTTAGGGGGGACAAATATTTTTATAATAAAATAATAAATATAAAAATATAAAAAATTTGTGGGATAAAAATGTGAAATGGAGTACTTTTAAAAATTGAGTGGGGGTATTTTTGAAAATTTAATTTAAACTATAGGTAATACTGTAAATTATAAAAATTGAGTGGGAGCATTTTTGTAATTTTAATTAAAACTATAGGTAATAATGTAAATTTTAAAAAATAGAGTGCGGGCATTTTTGAAATTTTAGTTAAAAAAAAAAAAAAACCAGTTGGGGGCATCCATCCCCATTGGGCCTCGTCGGGGCTCCACGTGTACCTATCCTGGTTATATACTAAATCTCTATTATCAATGCAAATTGAGAGTTCCAACCATAACTTTTTATTGATAAGTGTACCTACATAACCTACCTCGGTTATATAATGAAATTCCTCAAAATGCCCTCAATGGGCATAAACAATTATTTTATGATATAATTAGCATATTTTTCAACCAAGCAAATGTTACGAAAACTTTCAATTTGTCTAGAGAAATTGATTGACTGTCCATTGGTCGGATAATCATAATCATATAAGTATGGTTGTATACATTCTTGGAAGGGAAAATGGTATTTGGATGCTTGGACCTGAAATGTGTAGCTTGGAGGTCCCTGGTTTGATACATTATACATGTCCACAAATTAAATTTTTTCCATTTTTTGGTATATAACACATTAAAATTTTGGTAGTCCACGAATTAAATTTTTGGTGCTTTCCACGTTGGACTGCCAATGGTCCTTCTTTATATTTTTCTTTGCTCCTTTTATACCCTGTTTTTTTTGTTGGCCGGTTTTTGGAAATGGTTTTCTTTGAGCTGCCAATTTCTCGGAGGGCATGGTGTTTTTGTAATCTGGTTTGTTGTTTTTGCTGGTTGAATAAAAAATGAAATAAGAAAAAATAAATAAAATAAAACCAGTTGTTAATAGAACAATAATCAACTTTTGTATAATTTCAAATTTTTGAACGTAAACTTTTATGTTTTTCATAAATTAGGGAGGATAGGCTCGAATTTAAAAAATTAGACGTTGAACCAATTAAGCCACTAAATAATGATCTACCGTAATAAAATTTAACATAGGTATAAATAGTGAGAATTGAGTGGTTTAAAATAGAAAGAAAAATGTTGTAAAAAGTAGAATTTATTGGGCTTTTTTATAAAAAGGGTTGGAGTTTACTGTTTAGTGGTAATAACTGCCCCTGTGATAGGCTCTTTCATTTTGAGACCTTAATAAACACCACAGCTCGCCGGAACAACTCTCTCTCTCTCTCTCTATTTATACATACACACAGTTATGGATACAGTTTTACACATACACGTATATGGATTGCATTTCTCATTATCGGCAGATATCAGAGGGTTGCTAGGCGACAGAGGTGAATGCAAGATGAGAGCAATTGTGGATTTTGTGTTAGGGTTTTGGTTGCTGTAAGGACCTTGTAGAGCTCTGCTTGCCGATCCACGGGTAAGCCCCTTCATCCAAACACACATTTCAATATATCATACATGTATATATATACACACACACATACACACATAGGGTTGAAATTATTGTCTTCTTGTGAAATTATTTGATTCGAAACCCTAATTTAGTCTTTATGTGGAAGATGAACCCTGGGCAACGGTATTCTCTTTCCTCTTTCTTCACGAAAATCTGTGTGTTTTAACATACTCCATAAGAGTAAGTCTATCAGTTCTTTGAATGGACACGATCACAGTAAGAGGCCTCGGGAGAATTTTATCACTGTGCACTTGTAGTACAAAGCTTTTTGTTTGTTTCTACTTTTTTGTTCAGTGGAGGATGTGAATGGTTATGTTCTTTGGCCCATCGAGGCACTTCATTTAGTTCAATGGACTATTATACCCCTTCAAAGTTCGAACATAATGTAGCATGGTTTTACAAAGAATAGCAAACTACTAGTCAATCTAGTGTCCACCTAAACAATTTTTTTTTTTTTACTATTAATATTCTGTTACAGGTCTCAGTTCAAGAAATCCGTGTTTTTTTTTTTCTTAAATGAGTTGAGTTCAACAGAATTTCTGAAAAGCCAGTCAAAATTTCTTAACCGAATTACCGCGAAAAAATGATAAAAGTTTAACTTTGGGTCATAGTATTTCAAATATACTGACTTAAACATGAAAAATGACATTCAATCTGGATACAAACTTACTGATTCACGCACTGACGTTTTACAACCGTGGGACCTGTATGTTACTTGGCTCACTTAACCTGGAGAATATATTTTAATTTCAATTTTTGCCTGTTTAGTGTGGAATTCCAAAATAGTGTTCTGTAAATCAATTCATTTTTTAAAAATGAAAATGATGAGAACAAACAAATGCTTTTAGAGTTTTTTAATTGTTGAATAAAGTTTCTTTTTTAAAAAATAAAAGGTTAATGTTTAAAAGATCAAATAATGAAATGACATGAAAAAATAAGTTGGAGAATGCAAACTAATTTTAAAAAATTATTCTATATATAAAACTCATGTTGAGTGAAAACCAAATAAGACCTGAAATGAATGTGCTTTGAATAACTTTTATTGTTTTGATTTTGACACTTTCAAAGTAGAAACTGGAAATCAGAATGAGCTGCGAGTTGGGCTAGGAAAGTTTTACTTGGTTATCTCACTCTGCCGCCACAATTGGAATTGGCCTTCTTTGAAGGATTCACTTCAAGTTATTCAATTGCTTGCTAGAGAATGTAAGTGAGGGTGTCACTGAAACTGGGCCTACCCTTTGTCTATTAGAAACCATAAAATTCAGAAAATCCATCTTATACTTGCATCTTAGCATTTGATTTTATTATTTAATAAGGGATGTAGTTCTATACTTCTATTTTAATGAGAGTTGGTGCAGATAGTATTATATGTTGATATGTATGAAACGTATGTGTGTGTTTACACCCAATCTCACATGACCAAATGGTTGATGTCACCGCCAAATTGGATCGTTAGTGAATAACACATGGCAATTATAATGAATCCCACACTTGAGAGGGTAAAGGAGCAGGATTAGACCGAAGCGAAGAGTAGTTAGACCAAAGTGAAGACTAGTTAGTATGCAACATAGCTTAATCAGATCAAGACTTCTTAGTGTGTCTTAGCTAGTAGCTCCTTTACATAGCATAGTGTAACTTGTTACTTGTAGCTTTGTCACAATGTATCATGGACACACACACGTCTTTGCACATGTACACCTGTTGACAACTTGTCCTGTTCAATACCCTCAGTAATGTATTGAGTGGAGTTGCTGTTCCATTCTCTTTCCCATGGAACTAGTGCCTTACATTTTTTTTTTCTTTTCTTTTTCATCCCAAGTCAACCTTGTTTCTCTGTTTTACGTTAATTATTTTCAAAGCATTGTTGAGGCATTCACAACCTGAAAGGATGGACAATTCTCACTTCCTAACAGTCATTTGACCACTTAGCAATTGGCTCTGGTCATATAGGGATAACTGTATGACTTTTTTGTCCAACATACCCCGGCCTGTCCACACCTATTTCTTAGGAAAAATAATTGATTAAGAAGGGGCAGCAATAAAGGAATTTTATAGGAACAGTGACATTGATATGATGATTTTACCCTTGCAAAATATATGAATTTGGGATTATCAAAGATTGTAAGAAAGTAAAGATTTCCTTTAATACTTCTAAAATAAAAGTTCCTATTATTATAGTTGTATAGTGCTGTGGGAAAAATTATAAAGTGGATTTTCAATGGTCATTTAAGAAGGCATGGTCATGGACACGGGACACATATATGATACAACATGGATACGTTGACACATCAAATCGTAAAAAAGTAGGACACGAATACGGTGTGAACACAGCTAATACAAATATAAATTTTTCATATTTGCATCTATTGAGTACATAAGATAATTATAGAAGTTTAATTAATTTATAATTTCTAAACTAAAGTTTCGTAAGTTAGAAAATGAAGCTATTCAAATTTCAAAATAAATATATATTATATTATATTATATATATGATATTACTCTCTTATTTTGTCATTATAGTTATGTTTTTGTTCATTACATATTGTGACATATGTTTAATGTCAATTCTTTAAAGAAAAAGAGGTTGGACATTTGGATTTTTTGTTCACAATGTTGTTTCCAAGACTGTCATGTTTTTATTTTATATAAGACAAAAGTGTAGAATATGTTGGTCTAATGTCCGGAATGTGTTGGCCTAGTGTCAAGATGTGTTGGCCAAGTGTCCAAAACAATAATAAAAATAAAAAAATAAATTATGTACACGGCCATGAAGTGTCGGACGCGCGTCCAAGAGTGTCTTACACAGACATGGCACCTTTGTAGAAGTGTCCGTGCTTCTTAGATGATCATCCCTTCATTTTTATTATTTAAGATCACTCCCCTTGGAGGAGGTTATTGGTTGTACAACATCAGAATTCATGATAGGGTGACTCCAACTTATGGGTTTATTAACTATATTCTCAACACATGATGAGTGACATCTTCATATTTTTTTTATCATTATATAATGGTGTAAGATAAATATAATTGAAATTCAATTTCATCTTGGCACGACCCACCCATACTGTGTAGATATTGTTCGCTTGTCCGCTTTGCACATTCTCCATGCTCATGATTTTCAAAGTGTGTCTACGCAGTTAGGAGGCATCTACACATATAAGTGCCAACCACCTCTCCCCCTTAGGCGATGTGAAACATCACAATCACCCCCTCTTGGGACCAGTGTCCTCGCTGGCATGACCCTCATATGCTTGTGCACTTTCTCCCGTTTCCGGAAGGGAGTGTCTCTAATACCATCTATCATGATCTACCCACACCGTGTAGATGTTGTTAGCTTTGCACATTCTATGTACTCATGGGTTTCAAAGCGTGTCTACACAATTATGAGGCATTCACACATATAAGTTCTAACAACCTCTTCCTCAGGCGATGTGGGAGTAGAGTAGATATTCTCTTCCATGTTTTCTTTCTCATTAGTAGTACAACCCGGACTAATGTTATTGGGCCGAATAGAAATATTGATCACCATAAGTGGCCAAACTAGGAAGGTCCTTTATTGACTTAATTTTGAAGTTTCTATGATAATTGAAAATATCTTAATAATAGTAAAGAAGTGTTAAGTTGGAATGGTGCTAGAAAGTAAAACTTCGAAGTTACATATTTTAATTGGAGCTTGATATAACTTGTTGGGCCATCCTGAGAAAAAATAGTGCTTTATTGATAATAAAAGAGAGCATCTGTAGAGGAAGAAGAGGGCAAAAGGAAAAGGAAAGAAAAAATAAAAGGAAAAAAGAAAAGGAAAAAGAAAAAGAAAGAGGTATTCAAGAAGAAGAAGCTCACTGATAGTAAAGATGATCGGTCGACGGTGGTAGCAAGTTCAAAGCTTGGTTGTAAAAGATTGGGAGATTCTTACCATTTTCTCTTTGTGATATTTTAGAATTTTAAACAAGTAATACGCATTAGAAGATCAGGTAAATAAAATTGCTTGATAAATTTCATATATATTTTTATTTTTTATGTGTTGACATCCATGTTGGTGAAACTTTTCAAAGAATTCCAATTATGACCCTTTTTTTTTTGTCCACAATGTGTTCGCAGTGTGTTGGCATGTCTGTCGTGTGTTTGTTAGGCGTCCATGGCCTGTCCAAAAGGAAAAATATTTGGCCACATTTTTTGGCGTGTCCGTGTTCGACGCATGTATGACATGGACACCTCGACCTTTAAGGTATGTCTGTGCTTCCTAGGTGTATTATTCATCAAAATTTTACTATTCACTGCATGTGCTTTTTGTAGTGCAATAAAATTATAGAGTTTGATATTTTGAAGAAAAGTTCAATTACCTTCTTTTAAGATATCTAGCGAATTATACGCGCAAGGTGTGTGTTTATGATTTTCTTATATACATATAATATTTATATATTGATACTTTCTATTTATAATTTTTATTATATCCAAGCTATTGCATTTGTAGTAGTCTTGGAAATGAAAATTATTACCTGCATCCCAAAAAAAGTGTTCCACTTAGGACTCCAAGTTTGTTGTCAAGGGACAAGCATTTACTGTGTTGTCTCCCTTGAAAATCACAAAACTAAGACGACAAAATGTAGACTTTTTCAAAATCCGAGAGCAATTTGAGAAAGTTCAAATTTGAATCATCCCAAAAAGGAAAGTTAACACTTAATTTAAGACATCCCAAAAAGAAAAGGTGGACACTTACTTTAGGACAAAAGGAGTATAAAACCAAAGTAATATATAAAAACTAATATTTATGTGTGTTTGATTCATTTTGTGCAAATATTGCCAAATATTAGGGCTATTTTTGGTCCATCCCAGTCAATCAGTCATTACTCCCCATTAATGGGCACGACACTAAGTAATTCTATTAAAATTATAAAGGTAACATATTTTTTAAGGTCTAGTTACATATGCATTTGCAGATGTGTTTGTTGTGCTAGTTCAGTTACAAATTTGTTACTTTGATTCTTAAATTCCAGATATGAATATGTGGAGGCAAAAGTAAGTAGTGAAAACTTTTGGAGAAGCAGAGATATCATAATGGTATTCACGAAGTGAGTCCTATATTTTAAAGAACATTTATTAATAATTATGACAGCTGATATGGACCACATCAGTTTTTTCTATGAAATGGGAGACCTCTTCTAGTCCAATAACGTTATTGTTATTGTCCTGTCAAATGCGCTGTTTTGTGCAATATAAATTTTTTTGCTTCTCTATTTTCCATTCAAAATTTCTTTTATGTTTACCATGAACAATCCTTTTTTTTATTATTATTTTAAGTTTTGCTATTTTAAATTAAACAGAAATGTTCCCTTCACCAAAAAATGAAATGGGAGACCTCTTCTAGTCCAATAACATTATTGTTATTGCCCTGTCAAATGCGCTGTTTTGTGCAATATAAATTTATTTGCTTCTCTATTTTCCATTCAAAATTTATTTTATGTTTACCATGAACAATCCTTTTCTTTTCTTTTTCTTTTTTCTTTTTTTAAGTTTTGCTATATTTAATTAAAGAGAAATGTCCACTTCACCAAAAATAGGGTCCCTCGTAATCATGATCAAAATATATCATGACAGCAATTTGCTAAGACTTTTGGAGAATCCAAAATTTTGTGTTCTCATTCTGCATTTTGGTAAGTTACCGAGAGCCATTTTCTTGTCAACATATTCTGGAAGTGAGTGATGTTGGTTTTAGTTGTTCCGGAATTTTTAATTGTAAAACAATGCTTTTGAAAGCAAACTTTTAATTTTTTTACATCCACTGTATAAACCCTAAGCAAAGCATTGCTGTATAATTTTCTACAACCATATGTTTAAAACAAAAATGCATTGTATCACAAATAATAAGTGGTTGGCTAGAAACCTATGATAATTGGACTACAGTTGGTGGGTGGAACCTGAACATCATGCTTAAGCAATTGTAGGACATGTTTTATTTTTCAAAATTATGCATTCATGAAAAACATGCAACTAAATTGGTCTTAACTGTGGGACAGTACCTTTTAAAACATTGTGAAATTTGTTTCAGTGAGTTTACCTTAATTGGGGGAAGAGACCTTCTCAGTGCTTTTTGTCAAACCTGTCTGCTACTTAAGATAATTGCAAAGAGTGAACTTTCATAATAAAACATTTCATGAGAGTTTCTTAGGAGAAAATCCTTGGATAGCTTGTTTGTTAGCTGTTAATTTTTTTAAACTTTTACGCGATGAACCTTTAGTGTTTAACAGGTTGTGAATCCTGTTGGAAGTGGACCACAGGATCAGCTGTTTGGTGGTGGTAACTGACTAGTCACCAGCCTTGGACGTGGCAGCAATTCTAGCCTTTGCCAGTGGACCTTGTAGCCATCTTGACTATACCTCGACCTAGAGCTGACAAGTGCAGGGCCCATCAGTGAGGTACTTTGTTGTATACTTTATATCTATTTTTTCACATTTCCATTGACCAACACAGAGTAAAATTTCAAGTAGTAACAAGAATTTTGTAAATAGTTTTTTGAGTACTTCTATTGATTTTAATAGTCAAATCCTTCCAAGTTTCCATATGTGAATATTTTTCATGTTCCTTTTCAATCATTCAGAATATTGAATGGCCCTTGATACAATTTTCTCTTCTATGTTATTGTTTTTATTATCAAAGTTTTTTTTTTTTTTTAAGTTGGTATTCACACACGCATGCCTCCACTGAGGCTTAAACCCATGACCTCCCTTTGGAAAGTAGGAGCCTGGTACTGCTAGGCCACTGGCCTATTGGTTATTATCAAAGTTGTATGTCAACTAAATTATATTCCATTTAACAAATGATGTATTGAGTTTCTGTACCAATAACAAAAATACTAATAATAATAATTTTGTAAATGAAGCACCCATATTCGACATGAGATCCCTCTTGATGGGTTTGTCACACCTATTATTGCGGTTGCCGAATGAAGTTTTTCATTTATTTTTTAATGGATCTTTCAGAATAGAGAAGTATTCATGGCTACAAGCTATTGTAATTTTTGATTGGTTTGAAGAAAATTAGAACTCTTATTATTAAGCAGCCTAGTTCGTCTCCTAACATTTGGGAACTTTTGGAATAAATGAATTATTTTGACATCTAGACAAAATGCCCCCACCCAACAAGCATCCTAGACACCTTGCCCCATATTTTTTCCTCTTTCAGTTTTTGATCTGTCAATTCAATGATAGAGATGGATACATGCTTTAAAAAGCACGATTGGAAAATGAGCAACTCACAGCATATTTCTTTATGCTCAAAATGCAACTGTAATTCATGATACAATGGCTTTGCCAGAATGTCTTATGAATGAAGTTATCTGCAATTAGTGGAGAATATCGATGATGAGGAATAAACCCATCTAGAAATGTTGCTGTCTGGCTAATCACCATTGTGAAGCCTTGGCTGCAGATTCCAGGATCACTCTCAAGACTTCCTTACCAACCACAATAAATTGCTCATCTTAGGGATTTATTCCTCATGAAAAATATAATTTTCTTAATCAATGTTGATTGTCCATTGGTGGTTCAATCATGTTGTCCCAGAATCTCATGCAGTATGAGCATAATGTTTGTGCATGAATATTGTGAATTGTGCTCGGTGGTGGCTAACATTTCTGCGAACTTTACTGATTGAAACATTGACTGAGACATGCTTTTTATGCTCTGATTTTTTTAGGAAAGATTGGTCGATTTTTACGGAGTCCTCCCCTGTATCATTATTCTGTTTTTCTTTTTACTTTTCCTTGCATCTGAACCTTGGAATAAATTCCTGTGTTAATTGCACTTACCAGAATCTAAGGAAATCTGGTATGCCTTCAATGCACCATGCAATGGTTGCTATCAGTGCGTCAGGAACATTTAAAACAAAGCTGTCTATCTGAGTACATTCTGGATACTGTTAAAAAATTTATTTCACCAAAGTGGCAGAATAACTTCTACAGCCTGATTAGCGTACGCCAACATACTTGGTCACGTTACATTTTATTTCTGAAACTTAATTAGGATGACTTTTTGTCTGTATGTATTTAAGATAATTGATTTACAAATTCTGCAAATGCATGCATGTCACCACACTTGCACACCCTTGATGTATATTTCCACATGGGGATTGAAGCCTTTCGGATGGAGAATTGCCTTTCATGTGTAAAACCAAATTGACATTTGCTTGCATGCTTGTGTGTGTGGTGCGCATGATAGATAGATAGATAGATAGATAGATAGATAGATAGATAGATAGATAGATAGAGAGAGAGAGAGAGAGAGAGAGAGAGAGAGAGAGAGACTTATTCCAAGAGAAAAGGTGAGGAATAGAATCTGTGAATTTGTTCTTGTTTCTAGGGAATTATTATCTTCTCACTATCTTGATCTGTGCAACTGTGCTGAAACATAAGAGAATTTTGAAAAATCTGTTTCCTGTTGTAGACTTTTAATTACAAGTTAAGCCTATTATACTTTGATGTTACTGTCTGCCATGTGGTTAAAAGAACAACTTGGATGGTACATATCCATGCTTATCCTGGAACTTTGTCAATTTTCATCATTAAAATCTAAGGGTATCTGATGATGGTGAACCCCACTTTCCCCAGTTAGAATTGCAGATTTGATAATTGGGATTTTTCAGTTTACAATTATTTTTAAATTATTATTATTATTATTTTTATCTCATCACTCTGTGTGTTTTAACATTTAATGAGCAGGACACAAGCTGGTAATGCAAAAACTCAAATCAGTACACTGTGTCTTCTCTCAATAACTGCTGTTGCACTTACCCAGCACATACCTCTCTCAAGTCTCAACTGCTGCAAAAATTAATGAGATGGACAAATATGGTACCAGACATTGGATGGGTATGGTTTTCAGGGGGATTAATTTCTTTATACAAGAAAACAAAGAAAATTGGATGTTTTTGAAGTTTGCTCAGACAGTGGGAGTGGGAAATTATGAACAAAAAGTCCAATGGGGTGTTGGTTGTTTTTTTTGAAGGGAATGGTTGGGAGGAGGGGGGCCTCTGTTGGGTCTGATGGTTTGCAGAGCAAGAGGGAGGCCTGAGGCCCCCACTTTGGAGAGCACTCTCTCATGTTGTGAGAAAAGGGGTACAAGTTTAATGGTTGTAATTGGTACACGGTGTTTTTCTTCCAGTGTTCCCTATCTTCCATCTGCCGCTTCTCAACACGGCCATCTTCTGCCATCCCATTAATAGTTGTGGTCCCGCTCTTTTTCATACAGTACTTTCCCACACCCCCACATACCCATGAAGATAACCTTTTCTATAACAAGTATGGATGTGTAAAATCCACTAAATTTGACACACTGGCCGCTTCAAAATCCATTCCAAAATTGCACATGTGGGTTAACCCCAGCTAAACAAATGATGCATATTAGAGAGAGAAGGAAGGAATGGGGGTGGGTTTGGTTGGTGGTGGTAAAGTGATTCCTCCTGCCTTTGGTGCATGGATCGCCGACCTGGCCAATGAGTCAGAGTCTAGGTTGAAACAACACGTATCAGGATGACTATATGTTAAGAGGCTCTTGTTCCATGCCGAATCTGGATAGGCAAGAGCATGGGCTTATATGGATGAGTATGTGGCACTATTCAACATCTTAAATTTTTTGGTCAGAGAATAATTGTTCGGTCCGTTACAATGGTATCGAAGTCAAACTTAGTTCTTGATCTTGTGTTATCCCAAGCGCGTCATCGGGAAGTGTTTAAGTCTTTGTTGAGTAAGCAAGGTGGTCCAACCACAATGAGGGAGAATGTTAGAGGTTCTTGTTTCACATCGGATTCAAAGGGAAAGGTTATGGTTTTATATGGGAACGTCAAGCGCCCCTTTGGGAGGTGTTAGGGTCTCCGCCGGGTAGGCAAGGTGTTCCAACCGTAATGGGAGGGTCCGGATGGGGAAGGTCGTGGACTTATATGAGTATGTCAAGTGCCTCGGGAGGTGTTCGAGTCTCCGTCAGGTAGGCAAGGTGGTTCGACAGCAACGTTGCGAGTTTGGGTGATTGAGAATGTTAGAGGTTTTTATCTCACATCGGATTAGGATGGGAAGGTAATGGGCTTATATGGAAGTTACTGTGATTTTCAAATTAAAGACCAAATTTTTTTTTTTTTTTTTTTTTTTAAGTTGGAGGGAAGAGAAGAGAGAGATGAAGCATCCCTCATTTCTTTATGTTTTTTTATTCACCCAATTTTGGAGGAAGAGAGGAGAGAGAGAATGGATAATTACCTCTACAAATATTTAATTTTTAATTTTAGCCTTTCCAAAAAGAATTAAAATAGATATATACCTTTTATAATTTTATATAATGAGGGTGTATTGGTAAAAAAATATATTAAAGCTCTATTTTCCTTCTAACAAAAAAAAAAAGTGTCACCATATTCTTTTTTAATATCTATTCTATTCAACCAAACAAAAAATGGAAAGATATCTAAAAAAATGAGAAGATACATTTTTCTTCCCTATGGATGTCTAGTCAATCCCTCCCTCTCTCTCTCTCTCTCTCTCTCTTCCATTCATTTTCTCATTCTGGAAGCCTTATGAGCCAAATGAAGCATAAGAGCTGAAATTGAATATATCTTAAACAATATTTTAGGTTATGAGTTTTCAATTTATTTATTTATTTATTTTTATTATTATTTGTTTCCTCGCCTACTGTAAAGTATTGTTTTAGTTTGCTTCTCAATTGATACTGCATTGTTGTATAATGCATTAATGTGTTTTATGTGATATTTTTTTCTTTTTCTTTTTTTTCATGTTAAAGTCTATTATTGTTCATTAACTTGGTAACAAATTGCCAATAACGATTTGAAATTCATGTGTAAATCATTATTGTAATAAATTATTTTTAAAAATAATATGGGGAAATTATATAATACTACCGCTAATGCACAATCATACTCTTTTTTTTAATAATAATAACAATAATAATAATAATAATAATAAAATTACCAGTTTTCAAGTATTGTTTCCATTATTATGCATTGGCTGGGTGAGAGCACCACGTATAAAATGCCGGTGTGTTCGGTTGCATGGAATTGAAACTTTGGAATTGGAGAAAATCTTAGTTCAATTTTTTTAGTTGTTTTTTTCAAATTGTAATTTTAATGCTCTAATTTTATGCAACTGAACACACCCTTGAAGTATTGTATAGTCTTTTATGTTCAGGATGGTGAACTTGTAAAGTACCACTACACTTAGTCACACAATTCGTTCTAAGTGGCCTCGCTCTCAAATTTCACACGGGGATTTGCGATTTGGGAGCGAATTCGCACAAAATCTGCGAATTCAATTTTTGCAATTCGTGAATTTGTTTTGCCTAATTTATGATTTCTATACGAATTCACTTTATATAGCTAAATTTGTTACAGTCCAAATGATACACATGTGGGTTAACCCCAGCTAAACAAATGATGCAAATTAGAGAGAGAAGGAAGGAATGAGGGTGGGTTTGGTTGGTGGTAAAGTGAACCTCCTACCTTTGGTGCATGGTTCGCCGACCCGGTCAACAAGTTGGAGTCTAGGTTGATATATAGGAAAGAGTTTAGACTTGCTCGTAACTCGGAAGGAAACGACATGTATCAGGATGACTATATGTTAGAGGCCCGTGTTCCACGCCAAATTTGGATTGGCAAGAGCATGGACTTATATGGGTGAGTATGTGGTGTTACTCAACATTTTAAATTTTTTGGTCAAAGTATAATTGTCCGGTCCGTTACAGTGGTATTAAACTCTGACCTAGTTTTTGATCTGATGTCACCCTAAGCGCCTCATCAGGAGGTGTTTGAGTCTTTGTCGAGTAGGCAAAGTGGTCCAATCGCAAAGATAGAGAATGTTTTAAGTTCTTGTTCAACATCAGATCCGGAGGGGATGGTTTTGGGTTTATATGGGAACGTCAAGCGCCCCTTTGGGAGGTATTCGGGTCTCCGCCGAGTAGGCAAGGTGTTTCAATCGTAATTGGGGAGGGGGGTTCGGATGGGGAAGGTCACGGGCTTATATGGGTATGTCAAGCGCCTCGGTGTTCAAGTCTTCATCAGGTAGGCAAGCTGGTCCGATCACAATATTGCAAGTTCGCGTGGGAGAGAATGTTAAAGGTTTTTATCCCACATCGGATTAGGATGGGAAGGTTATGGGCTTATATGGATGGATATGCAGCATTTCCCAATAACTTAAGTGACTCTGATTTTCAAATTAAAGACATTGTTTTTTTTAGTTGGAGGGAAGAGAAGAGAATGAGAAAACAAGGAGGGATGAAACATTCTTCATTTTTTTTTTATGTTTTTCTATCCACCTAATTTTGGGGGAAGAGATTAGAGAGAGAAGGGATAACTATCTACAAATATTTAATTTTTAGGATAAAGTACAGCCATACCCCCTGAGGTTTGGCAAAAGGATACTTAGAGAAAACTTACATGTATTTTTTGACAAAGACGTCTCTTGAAGATTCAAAAAGAACAAAAACACCCCTTTACACGAGAAATTAACCAAATTACCATTTGACCGTTTATGAAACTTTTTTAACTTTACAATTTAATAAATTGGACCAATCTACCTTCATGAACAATTTATGCATAAAAAAAATAAATAAAAAAAAAAAAAAAAAAAAACCTTTATATTCCTAACCTTTTTTTATTTTTATTTTTTTTGTTATTTACTTTATAAATGTTCCAACTTACACCAATCTCTTTTCCTTAATCACTTTTTCTTTTTCTTTTTCTTTTTCTTTTTTTTTTTTTTTTTTTTAAATAAGTACTTCTAGCTCCTTTTTCTTGACTGCCTCCATGTAGAGGAGTAAAGTTGTCAACAAAATTTCAGAGGATATCAATAATTTCTTAGAAACCTCAAAGAAATCAACAATCTGAGACATTTCAAGTGTAACTCTTTCCCGAGTTACCTGATGCATAAGATTGTGTATGTGAGTAGGGATTAGTTTCAGCTCAATATAAAAATGGAGTCAACCTTCTGTAATAGATAAAAAAATAAACAATTTCTGACAATTGTTTGGTGATTTATGTTATGGGTGTGTATGCGTTTTCCTCTTTCATTTTCCTTTCACCTGCTGAATTTGAGGCACGTCATCCTATTTATACTGGCGTACTTATTTATTTAAAAAAAGGTGGTTAAGGAAAAGAGATTGGTTTAATTTTTTTAGATGAAAGAATTAAGCATCTTAATTTAAAAATAATATAAAATAAAAATAAAAATAAGTAATAACAAAATATAATTTATTTGAAATATATGTATTGGATCAAAAAATCCTTTTAGACGTTTACATTTTTAAGAAGTCGGGACATTTAAAAAAAAAAAGTGTGAATAATATAAAGTTTTTTTTTTAACTTTTTTTTTTATGCATAAATTGTTCATGAGGGTGGATTGGTCCAATTTATTAAATTGTAAAGTTAAAAAAGTCTCTTAAACGGTCAAAGGGTAATTTGGTCAATTTCTCATGTAAAGTGAGTGTCTTTGTCCATTTTTGAGCCTTCAAGGGGTGTCTTTGTCCAAAAAACAGGTAAATTTCCTCTGAGTGTCCTTTTACAAACCTCAGGGGGTGTGACTGTACTTTTCCCTAATTTTAAATTTTAGCCTTTCTAAAAAGATTAAAATAGATATATACCTTTTATAATTTTATATAATGAGGGTGTATTTGTAATGTTTGTGATTTTTTTTTTTACATATATATAATTGTGGTATAGAAAAAGAAAAAGAAAAATTTTATTTTAAAAGGTGGTAGGACTCACCACTAGCATATATGTGTGGCTTAAAGCCCATTTGGTCTCATTCTTTCTCTCTCTCCCGTAGCTCACTCTCACCCCTCTCATTCTCCATTTTTTTTTCTTTTTCTTTTTACAAGATTTCAATCCTAGATTTTTTCCTCAATTTTTGGAGTTTTTAAGTGTCATTTACAGCAAATTAAAGATCACGGCGAAATCTTCGATTTGATCGGAGCAAAGGTGGTTTTGGTGCACCCTAAGAATTTTGAATTCTAGGGTTTGGATTCGGCAAATTGGGGGTTTTTACAATTCTTGAGGAAGGGGTTTCTAATCCACAATTTTCTTTGATTTTTGTGAGTTTTCTTATAAAGTTGTTAAGCTGTTTACTAAATTATGAGTATTGTTTGTGGTTATAGACATTCTATGTATAATGAGCATGACAAGGTATATATTGTGTTGAAAATGATAGAAATTACTTGTATTGGTTATTGATTTTGATTATATGCACTTGAATGCTTGAACGTCTAGTACTATGTTGTCAAAATTGTTAAATGAGAGTTTCTTAATTTAATTTTCCCAAAAGTATATAAATGAGATATAGATGAATTGTATGGAATTGTGTAATAGCATACTTATGTGAAATGGATTATGTTTTGTATGCTTGGTATGCTAAAACAATGTTGAAAGAAAGCATGAATTACCTATTTTAGAGATTTAATTTGCAAAGCATGTGTGAAATTCTATGGTTGAATTCATGATTAGGAGCATGAAGCATTCATGCATCCATTGGGAAAGGAAAAATGGGAAAAATGTTTTGAAAGCAAATAAAATAATTTTGGGAAAATGTTTTTGAAAAGTGTTGCGAAAACCTGGACGCCTAGGAGGCGCCTAGTGGTCCGTGGTGTTAGTGTGATTTAGAGGGGGTTAGAGAGAAACTCTAGTATGATTGAGCTACCCAGACGACGTCATAG